GGGGATGCTGATACACAAAATGCTCCGGGTGCTTTAATTAGAGCTGCTCTTGGAGCTGCTCTAATTAAAGAGCCCCACCTCCCTCCTGGAGCACAAGTATAAACACCCATTTAGTCTGGAGAAGAGAAGACAGAGAGGGGATTTAACAGCAGCTTTCAACTACCTGCAGGGGGGTTTGGAGCTGGACTGTTCTCAGTGGTGGTGGATGATGGAACAGGGAGCAATGGTCTCAAGTTGCAGCAAGGGAAGTTTAGGTTAGATATTAGGAAGAACTGTCTCAGTAGGAGGGTAGTAAAGCACTGGAACAAGCTATCCAGAGATGGTGAAATCTCCATCTTCGAAGGTTTTGAAGACCCAGTTAGACAAACTCTTGACTGGGATGATCTAGATGGGGCTGGTCCTGCTTTGAGCAGGGGGTTGGACTAGATGTGACCTCCTGAGGTCCCTTCCAACCCTCATTGTCTATGAGTCTGTCAGGCTCCAGAACATTTTCTATGCAGTCACATTTTAAACTGAAACCAGCATAGGAATGGGGTTGTACTCTGATAATAGACACCTCATGTCCATGAATGTTAAAAGTGTTTGCTAAAGGCAGTGTCTTATTTCTGGTGGATCTGGCTCCCCTGTGAGATTGTCCAGATGCGCTGTTCCACTCAGTTCCTTTTCCACTGGCAAAGGAAAAAATATATTATCTCCCAAGCCCACCCAAGCAGTGTCCAAATGAAAGGTGCAGATCCTGATAGGATGATGGTTCCTTTCCTTTCTTGTGTGCTTCATTTCTTATGAGCAGGCGTTACTTTGTATTGGGAATACACCAGTACTGCAAGGGCTTTGCCTCTGGCAGCAGCACCACCAGAAGTGGCAGGAGTACAGGGAGCAGTTCTCACCCCTGCAAGGCAGTGGCTGTTCTTGGCACTGACTGCTTTTCAGTAGCTGGCAGCAGGGGAGGGGGCACGCTGTCAATTGCTGGACTTCCTCGGGTATGGCAGGGAAACCAAGGAGCAGCTCCCAATTGTCCCCTGGCTGGAGAGCTTGCCTTTGACGGGACTCTGAAGCTCTCCAGTCAGGGCACTGGAACACCTCTTTCTCCCCACATTTTCTACTGCTACAAGCTTCCCAGAGATTTGCAGCACTGCAACTAAAAGCTTGCCCATAGCTATAGTTAATGTTGACACTGGAACTGCCCTCAGTGCACACCTGAATTAACCCCTCACTGAGATGAATCAGGCAGGCCAAACCTTTCAGGGGTCTTGGCTTAGGGTAGACAAACATTGCTAAATGAAACAGCATCAGTTGTGTCAGGATGTCCCCCAGCCAGCTGACCCACTTCATTGGACAAAAGACTTCCCCCATTTACCTGTCCATTTATGTTACAGGACAACGAGTGATGTGTTCTCCTGGGGCTTGCAGGGCCCAATCCAGCACACCCTGGGAATGCCCTAGAACAGGGGTAGGCAGTGTTTTCTGGCCGGAGTGCCAAACCCCCCCACAATGCCTACCTTGGAAGGTGCTGGAGTGCCGACATGCCAGAAAAACAAAATGAGGGCAGGGGGTAGATGGCAGAATGCCCTACTTGTGCCCCTGCCCCCCCAGCCCTGCTGCCCTGTGCCCCCCACCCAAAGCCCCTTGCCCCCCAT